ATCATATATATATAATTATATATATTATCATCCTAAGAATTATAAATATTGTTCCATATAAATTGAGACTAACCCTTAGTGGAATTTCCTAGGGTTTTGATGGGAATTTTGATTGACTATACTACATGTTTCTGGCATTTATGAGTATGTTTATCTTTACATCTCATTTACCACAAGGTTTCTTCTGTTAGACACAGTCTTGCTGCCTCAGAAGCCATTCCTCTGGTGCCTACACCATGCTGACACCGTTAATCCCACCGTCTTCCTTAATGCATGTCCTGCCAGCGCTTTCCATCTACCTTAGAACCTCTCCTCACCTTATCTATCATTTAATTTATAATCAAAATATGATCTTTTGTACTGTTATAAAGTTAGCCTTCCATGCCTGCATTTAAACATTCAGACAACCTTTATGCTTTGTCACAGGCTGCTCCTCATGCTTGAGGGCCACACCACAGAGTCAGAATTCAATCTCCATTATTAATAGTTCTTAAGATGGTTTTATCAACCATTTTTATTCAATGGGCTACCTCACTGTTGTTCTTCAAAGCTCTTCATAAAACTCTTTGTTTCAATGTCCATAAAATGAAAGACCTTATTAACAGGGTAGCTGCCGATTTATTGAGGCTATGGCCTGTCATGCTGACTGATGTTTTCTGATCATTCCTGGAATTTGCCTATCTGTGTCCTTACATAGTTCATAATTTCACTGAGGTAATATGATCTTTTAGTTCTGTTTTTGTATCAAGTATATTCTTCCAATAAACTACAGCTAAAATATTTTCATCAGTCCTGTTTACAGATATTTCTTTAATCCTCCCTTCTCTTTACAGAGACATCAGCAAGAATCAAATATCTGACATTGCGCCTGATGCATTCAAAGGCTTGAAATCTCTCATTTCATTGTAAGTAGAAAATAGAATTGAATGGGTATTTGGGGAGAGATTGCATGTAAGAGAAATAAAAATTATAATGTGCTGTCTGGGAGAACTTACGTTTCTGTGTGCAATTGCCAGCTTGCGTGAAGCATCTGATCTTTTGTAAATGAAAAATTGGTCATGAAGGTTAGAAGGAGGAACTGTTTACACATCTCTAGTAAGTTCTTTTATAGATGAACACCCCCAAGGTTACTGACGTGTTCACCTCTTCAAATCAGCGCATTAGTTGATCTACTGTACACGTGCACCCACAGGCTAATCCATGCCCCCCAACTCATCGTGGCACACAAAAACCTCATCATAGCTCAGACACTGTTTGGTGGTGTTAATCAGGGAGCAGTTAGGGGAAACACTTACATACTGAATTTTTCTTCTGTATTAAAGAACTGAGATTGCACTCTCTCGTGAGTTTTTTGTTTTGTTTTTTGGTTGTTTTTTTCAAACTAGTTAGGGAAGAACCTAAGCTCTTAAGAAAGCATTTATATTTCTTAGCTGTAATTACTACTTTATTAAGCTGGAAGGGAACTAAAATATGACTTCATACAGAAGATAAAAGGAAGGTAGGATCTCTTGACAACCATTTGTTTCTCTTTATAGAACACAGAAACTGTTTTAGCACCAAGTTGAATTTAAATGCAGCTATATTTCAACCTAGCTACCCAAAGCACTATTAAAACAGTGGAGCTTTTAATGGGTAAAAGGAGCGAGCAATACAAGGTCAGAAGCTGCATATGGAGAATGAACTAGAATAGAGTGTTAGAAAGATCCCCAGGTTGAGAGAAGAGGGTAAGTTCAACTGGAATGATATTTACCTGTGTTAATTTTAAAGACAGTTTTAAAACATTTAGCTCATTAATATTCATATAACAGTTTGATTTTTAAGAGTGTAGTTTATTTCTAAAAGCTGCCATAATTTTATTCTCTGAATACTGGATAATTCTAACAACCTATATAAGTTGTTGACTAGTGCTAATAATAGAAGATTAGTCGGTACTAAACTTAATATGTTGCAGTAAACTTCTGAGCCAGAATGCAGAAGGATGGGCCTTTTTTTGTGCCCTGAATCCAACTGGGAGAATGCCAGAAATATATATTAAATGTTGCTAGCCGTTGTTGAATGGTTAGTGCAGTATTATTCAACATGCTGTGGAAATGGTCAAATCCCTCAATGCTGTCTGGAAATGATTGAGTAAGAGAATGACATTTACTGAACACTTCAGTTTTGGCTTAGTATGAAACTACTGCTGATGCTACAATGCTACAGCTTTCTGGTCTTGGCAAACCTCCTGGCTAGGAGAAAGCTGGACAGGCAAGACATTTCTACTGGGGTTGACTTCCCAACTCAGAAGTTATTCATATTAGCTAAAGCTAATTCAGATACCCCCAGATGGCTCCAGGAGTGGGACAGAACACATCAGAGTGGGCAGAGAGGAGATGAGAATATAAACTGGGCAGGAATTTATAGTGTTTTGACTTGCACACAGAAGCAAGTGAAATGACTGTGTATTCTCTGCCCAGTCATCCAAAATGATATTTTAAGCAAATGATGTTTAAATATGTTTATATCCAAGTGGGTAAAATAGTGCTTAAGTTAATGCTAGGAGGTTACAAGGGGGAAGAGAGAGGGCAGAGAGATGAGATGCAGCACAGAAAGGGCTATAGTAAGGGAACTGCCTCTGAGCAGTCTTTCCTTTGTTCAGTGTTTGTCTCTGCCTCAGTTTCCTTCTACCGCAGCCACACAAGGCTGTTGTAACCCACAGTCTGTTTCTCCTCTCTTTGGCAGACTGGTTTCTAGGACAGTATCGACTCCAGCCTTGACATTGTCAGCCTCCTCCTCTAGGTTCAGGTGTCCATTGTGCTTGCCATTGGCTTTTACTTTTTTTTGAAAGGTTTTACTCTTGCTGTTCATTGCAGGTAGGTCTTACAAATGTTTTCTCTACGGCTGATAGGCAAGAGTTAGTTCCCTGATCTTTCATGACTTGTCACCCAGACCTCTGGCAGGTTCTTCCCTGCTGGTCACTTCTGTAGCTGTTTCAGTTTCTGAGCCCTAGATATCTTTATGGAGCAAGACTATCTGCTGTTCTGCAGAATCTGGGTTTCTCCGGAGAAACTTCCCCCAGGTTTCTACTTCCAAGAAGTAGAGGATCTTCTTTTGGCTGATCTCTGCTATAGCCACCAGTGCAGTTCTGTCAATCGCAGAAAGACAAGTAAGTGCAAGAGAAGATGGCTCCTTTGAAGTGCCAGCCCTCCCAATGAAATCGCCGAAGGGGAAAGAACAAGGAGGTAGAAATGAAGTAAGACAGTTTGCTTACTAATGTTTTCTCTTTTAAGCGGCTCAGTCTTTTTGGTGCCTGAGGCCCCAATAACTTTAGTCAGCTGCATGCCCTGAAGGAATGCTGCTCTGCATACAATGCTTCAGCTCAGCTGAGAGTAACTTTTATTTTACATATATGAAAGTCAAATGTGATTGGTGGCATATATTTTAATGAGACACCATTGAGGTTTAATCTGTGCGCAGAGCAGCTGGACTTTTCAGCTAGCTGAGTTAAAAGAAGAATAAAGGAGGGGAAAATATTAATGCACAAATGAAAGTAAGCAACTTTGTTTCCATTAAAAATGAAGTACTGCTGTACTGCCTAAAATCCTTGCTTTTTTTTCCCCTGCCTTATTCCCTTTTTCTGCTCCTCCCTTTACTCCCCGCTTGCATGCAATTGCAGTGCTCCCTATGGGTCTAAGAGAGTGAAAGTGCTTATCTGGAAGACAGCCAACATTGTTAGTCTAGCTGGCTAATGGAGGCCTATATATAGTGGGTTGCTACTCCACTTTCTTCTGAAGTTAACTTAGGTTAGTGTTTCCAGGCAGAATTGTTTCTCAGAGTACTCTGCCTATTGTACCTATGTAGAGGTAGAAGAAAAAATGATGCATTATAGTTTTCAAAACACAGGAATGTTTATTACAGAAGCAGTTGCCCCTAAAATGTATAAAACTTAAATCTTTTAAAAGCGCTAAGTGATCCATATGCTAGCAGGTCATAAGTTTTTATTTTAAATTTATATATTTTCTCTAACAAGAAATCCACCTATGGGAATCAAACAGGTCACAAAATCTTAACACTTTAAATAAACCATTTCTACCTTAGGTTTTCTCTGCATTTAGCACAAGAATGGCAAGCTTGTTCTTGTAAGGACTCAAGACTTCTCCATTCCCCACACACAGGAAAAAAAATTTGTTTTCTCCATGCCCATTTTTCAGTGGGATTTTTTTCCCTATTCATATAATGACTGTGTGGAACAAGGAATTTCTCTGTTTTTCTTAGAAATATTTGGGAATGTACATAACTTTTTTTTTTCCTGGTTGTGACAACAATTAAGGAACTGGAATCATTCTCCTTTAAGAATGTTTTTTTCTTCTTCCTAGAGTTTTCTGGCTTCTCCTTTTCCTCTTGTGTCACATGCAGGCGGCACTGTGAGTCACTGGTCAGCTCTGGGTCTGTATGTTCTGTGGATTTAATTCTGTTCCTGAAGTTCCACTAAGGCTTAGATCCTTAGCATATTTTTGGTATGAACCAAACTTCAAACCTGTTTATGGACAAAACTGAAGATACAGTAAGATCCAGTCTCTGGTTTTGAGAGCAGAGTTGTGGAGAGCTTACTATAAAGCCGTTGTGGAGAATGGAGGGTGTTGTGGATCAAGGCTTAAGAAAAAGGGTCTTTAGTCTTAAAGATGCTACTGTGGGATTTGGGAGGAAGAAGTTATGTTGCATAATTTCAGTGACAGCTGTTGGACAAATAAACTGCTTGTCTATACCAAAGCTTTCCCTCTTGAAAAAGTGGAAGCATTTCTCTGTCTCAAAGAGATGATACAAGGGTGTATACTTTGAAGGCTGTGAGATGTAGCGATACTGCAGTACTTGGGACCATATGAAATATCCAAGGTGAGAAACAAATAATTAGAATGATTTGAATCTAAAAAAACAGTAAGCAGCACACATGTAAGTGAGCAGTGGTAATGTAGCCATGGCTTTTGCGTTGAAGGGATTAGTCTTGCCATCCAATATTTCTTTCCATATAAACATGAGAGCAAATTGTACCCTTGCATTGAGAAGTGTGGCAAAATTGGTTGATTGCAAAAGAGTGTGTTATCTTAAGTTTAAGCAAAAGTTTGAGAAATGCTCTATTTGTAGTACATGGTGTTTGCATTACGTAGTTAGAATTGCACTTTGCTGGAGTTGGAGTGGTTAATAACTCAGCGCAGAACATGGGGGCTAAGTTACGAATAGTTTCATGTTTCAAGATTGCTGCATGCACTTTCTCAAGTAAATTAATTTTTCATTTAATCAACTCAAAATCTGTCTAATATCAGTGAGATGATTGTATCAGCATTTGGTTATTGTTAGTAGTATCAAAGATAAATGTTATTCTTGGGGTCAGTAAACTTCCCACAAATGTAGGTTTGGAAGGCCATATCCAGACTGTCTGGGGACATTTTATGAGATATGACAAAATAGTCTAAGCCTTCAGTGTGTTAAACTGAATGAATAAATTTTAGACCACTGCAGAGGGAGAATTCCTTTGCTTTTGTTCATATACTGAATTAAACTAGTGAACAATTTAAAAGCTTAGATCAGCCTGGGCACAAAGACAAGAGGCAGCTTAGATTTTGACACAGCAGTCCCATTTAGACCATCATCTCCTGGGTGATGATGTATGTGATGTCATTCATGGTGATTTGAAATCTGCAATAAAACACTGTCTATTGCAATAACTGCCAAACTTATTTTAAGGTAACAAATTGCTTTGGATGGTTTTACTGTGATTTATTTAGCCTAACTTGTTCTGAAGAAATATGAAATAGTGCAGGGGAAAAAAATTACATGTCTAAGTTTCTTCCAGATATTAGAAATTTATTGCTGTTTTTACCCCTATCAGTTCCTCCTCTTTTGAAAACTTGAATTCTTATTGAGCCTG